CCGAGTGGGGGGCAGAGCCCGGAGAGAGACTGCTGCCGAGGATTTCACTGGGATTGGAAATGCTTGGTTGACCTGTTAACTTCCTGTGAGACGTGGAGCAAGAACAGTTGTGAAGCTGTAGGAAGGAAGTAGCACAACCACAGTGCAGGGGGAGTGAGGGAGGGAGAGAAATAAGGAACGCATCTGCTCGGATCCTTCCGTGAAGCCCTAAACTGACTGACTGATCCGCCTGACCCCAGTTAGCTGGTCAAACTGTCCTTCACTTTATGCTGTTTCCTTTCCATTGTCTCTGAGCACTGCTAAAAAAACTGCCTTTTAGAGGCTGGGCACTCAAAAGGGAGCACAGCCAAGAGCAGGAGTCAAGGTGTAGGCTTGACCAGCCCTCATTTCGTAGGGCTGCCGCTGTCCCAAATGCATGATTAAATTTGTCTTTAAACATTCTGTTCCCACCTGGGGAATGATGCCTCCAGGCAACTGCTGCAGAAGTTCATTTAGCTCATAAAATACTTGGAGTGGGAAGGTTCAGTTAGCTCTTTAAACCCTCTTCTTTATATATGGAGGTTAACTCACTGCTGGCTAGTTAAGCAAGCACTTCTTTTGTCTGAAGCATGAAACCTCAGCCCCCAAAGTTTTACTTACATTGCAACTGCTGCTTTTTGAGCCTGAAGCTTAAACCACTGAACAGAATTACTGGGTGCCTTTTTCTTTTGAAGCTGTGTTTCAGGTGTGGCATCTAGATCGACTTCAGATAGCAGAGAGATCCAGCTGCTTGGGGTAAAACTGTCAAACATGCTTAAATGACTGAGGAGCCAAAGTCCCATTGAAAGTGAACGGGAGTGGGATGCTGAAGCCACTTAGATGCTTTTGACAACGTTGTCCTCTGCCTACAGGACCCAAGCTGCCCCTGCACTTCTAGGTTTTGGGGGTTGAGGGCTTTCTATTTGGCCTGGGATTTGAAGCAACAGAACTGGTTATAACTGCGCACCTGTTGCAAGTATGAACAATAAAACCTCAGAAATCAAACTTTGCTGCAGTAAAATATTGCTATGCTATCGCTTGCTAACATCAGTGTGGGCCTCTTTCTTTACAAACGTGTAGCTGTGTTGCTTAAAACAAAAGCTCCGTGACCAAGACCCTGTTTGAAGGCAGCAGTTTGCTCTTGTGTGGTTCATTGTAATTTAGCAGTCACCAGCATATCTGCTATGCTGAAGCGTGTCCTTCTGGGATACATTCATTCTTCAGCCAGGCTGTTAGTGCTTTTCCCTCCTATCTGGTAAGTCGCATGAAATGAAGAGCAATTTTGGCCCCGAGGCTGCAATCATATCTCTGTGGCCCTCATTAGAACCATTTTGCAGTAGTTCAACTCCTAGCTCTGCATTTGAGAATAGTCTGAAGATGTTGTGTCGTAGGCCAAATGCCTTGGAGCCGAATAAAGATAACTGTCCAGGCAAAATACCTCTTTCGCTGCTTCGGTTTCATCACATGCTTATCGGTACAGGAAGGTCACTAGTTCCGCAGTTGTGTCCACACCTTCTGTCACCTCCGCCCTGCTGCCTGGCACCAGTTACACTTTGTTCCATTTTTTTTCTTGTAAATGCAGCGTTCAAACTTGTGTGGCTAAAGCTGCACAAAGCAGGTATTTGTACCAGCTCCTCTGATGCCCTTGCCCAGCCGGAGGATCTCTGGAACATGTTTTGTACGCTGAGTTGCTAAGAAGCGTGACACCATTTTCCCTGTCCGTGGCTCTACATTTTATCTTTTCAAGCAAATTACCCATGCTTGCTGATATACTGAGTTAAATTTGAACAGCCTCTTTTTGTGGCGATGGTGCAAAGACTCACTCTGGTTCCCTTCTTCACCTTTGCTTTTATTTATTCAGTTGTATGTGTGAGTTGGCTCTGTCCGTCTGTCTCTGCTTTTGGTGTCATTTTAGATTATTAGGCTGCCCTCGCTGAACAGTACAAATGCCTCTTTCCTTCCTGTATAGTGACATAGCCCGTGTTTGCCTACACTTCCAACTTTTGTGTTCAACGAATGTTCAAAAGTTCAGAGTGGACAGGTCCTACCGCTGCCTCCCCTTCATCACTAGGGTTTATCAGGAAAAGAGCCAGTTCTCATAGTATATAGAGATCCCACTGCTCAACTACTTCATTCTCAGACTGTAGTCTGTGATACCTAGTAGCATGTAGGAAGCCACTGAATAAAACTTTACAGAAGTATGTGGCTTTAGGAGTCCTAGGCTCATTGAACACGCACACACGCACAGAAATCATTGCCCAACTCACTGGCCTTTATAGGCATTAGCCTTGTGTGGCTCTGGAGAACACTTCATTATTCTTTAACACCTTCTCAAGATTTTTCTGGGTGTCACGGATGTCATGCTGAGTTCATCCAACACTGGAGAGAAGAAAATGCCCGCTGTGCTGAACCTGAATCTTCAGAACTTCTTGTTCTGTAACTAATCTATGTAGCTTAGTTGTACCATTATGACACTTCTTGCACACTTGTGTTGGGGATGCTGGGTACGTACCCAGATAATCCTTTTGTCCACTGTCACACATTTGTGATACACTTTAGACTGGCACTGGTGGCTTCATTTTTTTGAAGGAAGGCAACTATTTTTTCCAATGATTTCCAACTATTTTTTCCAGCTCTTTCAGTTGGCCTAATAAAAGCTATCAGATTTACCCAAACAACCTTGCCTTCCTTTGAAGGGGCACAAGTATAACTCTTACCTTTGTGGGAGGACAAGTGCTGGAGTCTTAGAGCTCCCTGCTGTCTCCCCTCTGCAGCCATCCCTGGGCTGGTTGCTTGAGGGAGAGGCAGAAAATATGGGCCACGTTGTGGTGTTCTGCAGGTATAAAGTTTGGCTGGCTCCAGTTTCGATCTCTTATGCCTAAAATAGTGTTAGGTATTAGACTTCAGAGGCAGCTCACCTGGTATTCAGCAGCAGTAAGGAGCTGGTTGCATTTGTCCTCTGTTGAAATTGCCCTGCACTGCCAAAGGAAATTGCGCGCACACGCGTGCACAGCAACACAGCATTCACAGAGAGCTTCTTTTAATATCTTCCAAGTGTGGACATATTCTTGTCTCTACACTCTGTGTTGTAAGGCAAACTGATAGAAACTCGATACCTGTAGAGCCGCAAATTCATCTCACTGCTCTTAAAATACACAAATCTTGGATGTTGCAACAAGTCCAAATATAATGTTTATGTAACATTAAAATAGAGCTGGCTTTGAAGAGTATCTTGCAGCTGTTGCCTCAGTTCAGCCTGAGCATCTGTTGGGCTCAGATCTGTAAAAAGTGACAAAGACCAGAATCTCTCTGTCTCCAGCTGACAGGTTCTGTCCTCCAAGCAACTCACTTCCTTAACGTGGGCAGACGATCAAATGTATGCGAGGAGAAAAAAAGAAAAATAATGCTCATGTAGGGGCTTGTTCTTTTGACTTTATGCCTATTTAAAGTCATAGACTTTGCAAAAATTCAAAATACAGGGGATTAAAAAACCCAGTGAATCCATGGTGAGGCAGTGCAGGGAACAGAAGCTGATTGTGGCTTGGACTTGGATTCTGGGGCTGTTGCTGGGAGTGGAGACCATAAGTTGTCTGTTGAAATATCTTTGTTCGGGGACATGAGCCTTGCTGCTGAGAAGGGTTTGCAAGGAGTATGCGGAAAGAAGCGGCCAAGTGAATGACTGGCTATGTTGCTGGGCTGAAGCTGAGAGTTCAGCTCTAAAATAAGTCAGCTTATTGCACTACAAGAAGCTTATTTTATAAATGTCAGCTTTTTGCACTAAAATAAATCACTTGCAGCTCCAAAATAAGTCATTTTAGCAGATTTGCATCTCAGGGCCGGTTTATTTCACCAAGGGCAGGACTACAAGTAGGCTGAGGAGCCTTGGGCTGAATTGGTTCCAGTTCAGTGCGATTGGATGACCTCATTCATAAAACTAATCAAACTAGCAAAAATGCTGGAATCAGTGGGCACGTGCTGGCCATATCTCAACTAATTGTGTTCACAGATGTGGTTATCCTGCGGTCCTGTTGTAGGCTAGCCGCCATTGAAAACAAGACGTGTTAAAAGGTTCCTGTGAATGACTGGATCCCTCTCTCAGGCATCTGGTGTCCAAGGCTGGTTAGCTTTGAAGTGGGAAGCTTATGGTACCTAGCATTGTAATAGCCTGTGCAGCTCCACTGCTACCAGAGCCCCCGTTAGTACTGATCTGCCAAAGCCGTCCTTAGAGAAAGCAGAGTTCACGTGCCTCTCCCTTACACCACCACATCCTCTCCTTTATTCTCAAATGTGTGAGGCCGCTGGGACAGGGATCCCCCGCAGCCTAGCCTGCAACTCCAAGACCTGGGCACTGGTGATTAGGAACGGGAAGGGGAGCACATCCTTCATAAAGAACGGGGGAGAGGAAGGAAGCAAATAAATGCTCCTTCCATTGATGAGCAGAGAGCTGTCCCTAATGTCCCTGCTCGTGCTGTCAGCCAGGAAGATAATTACTTTGAGCCTTTTAGGGGGGAAGAGAGCATGTTCTCATGCAAGGTATAGCTACCTGGGGAGTCCTGGATGTGGCCCTAGATAAAAAATAATGCCCCTTAGAGGCTCCATGGTGGAAGACACGGAGCACAGGCTGTGCAGCCAGGAACACTTGGGTTCTGATTCTGCTCTGCCTCCTGACGTGCTGCGTAGCCTTGGGCACATCTCCTAACCTCTGTCTCCCATCCACAAAACAGACCCAAATGCCTCCCTACCTCAGAGTGGTTGTGAAGGGAGGATAATAAGTGTTTGAAAATATAAATCACATTGCGACCTGCTGTGCATTAGACAACGTGGGCTGAAAGCAACAAATGCCTTTTTGAGAAATGGTCCTAAATGGGAGGTTTTTTTCCTGGTTTGAGGTAGTTTCTGGATTTCTTCAAGCCCTGTTTCTGGCTGTCTTACCCAGGGCAAAGCCTGATTTCTCTAACTTCTGCTTTTGTGATCTGTTGCAGGCGCAACCTGACAAAGCTGTCGCTGATCTTCAGCCATATGCTGGCAGAACTGAAAGGCATTTTCCCAAACGGCCTCTTCCAGGGAGACACATTTCGGATCACAAAGGCAGATGCTGCCGAATTCTGGAGAAAAGCTTTTGGGGAAAAGTAAGTTTCTCAGCATGTTTCATATGAGAGAGAAGATCAGCGCTTACATGTACATTCTGCGTATTAAAAATGCTGCTTCTGCTTTGTGGATCACAAATGCCCTTGTTGGATTAATCATAGAAATTAGTGATGGGAAAGACCCATTAAGTCATCTTGTCTCCTCTCCAAAGTCCGCAGTGCTGGATTGTTCCCTACACTCTATTTTTCCAGTTCCTTATCCAGTCTTGTTCTAGCGTGTCAAGTGATGGGGCTTCCCTGCTTTCCTGAGGAGGCCGCTTTCCTGTCATACATTTTCCCTTCTATTCAGCCTAAATTTTTCCTTTTCTTAACTGAATCCCATTACTCCTCATGACAATCCCATGTGCTACTGCGCACATTTATTCTTCCTCCTCTTCGGAGACTGTGACCACATCTCTCAGGTTAGTTGTCTCTTAGCCAAAATGTTACATTAAGTTCCTTCAGACTTTCTTCCAGTTAGTCGTCCTGATCTCGGAATCACTTTTATCCCAGCTTCTCCGAACTCCTGTCCGTTTGTGTAATGGCCATGTTAAGATAAAAGGGAGGAGACAATTAAGTGCAACAGAATATATTTAGGGAGAGTTGCTGAAGTGTCAAGTTTTTTTTCCATTTAACAAAATGCTGACAAAATTAATGCTACCAGCATCTGTTATTACGGTGTTAGTTGAATGGGACAGCATCTTCTGCCTAACGAAGATGTAGATGTTAGCAGCTGTCCAATTCAAAGTAATCATATGTAAACTGTGGAAGTCCAAATGAAACCTGTTGGACGTGGAGGGTGGGGACAGGTTTGAAATGTACACTCTTGCCGTGTATCTTATGGACTTCCCCCACTCTGTATTTCAAAAGGAGAAAATAAAAGCTGAACTTCGGAGCTGCTGATTTTGGTCCACAGTTGCCTTCACTGTCTGACTAATCATCTCTCCAGATATAGCTGTGTGCTGTCTTTTGACTGTTTTGGTCTTTGATACTGAGAGACTGACCTGGACTGCTCCTGCTGCTGAATTAGGAAGCAGATCAAATGGTGACATTGCTCCTTGCCCTTGCTACAGTGTGGATTGTGGGCACTGATGGAACTGGGGAAAGGGAGACCGGAGCTGGGCTTGCAGTACCACACTGTTGTGCCATGCAGGGCGGTGACCTGGAGAATGGCCCTTTTTCTGCTTACTGCTGGGGGTGCAGAGACATTTCTCCCTTGCTCTCAACAGGAGTAAATCTCTCTCACGGTGATTGCTTTTGCCCTTCCTAATTCTCCTCATGGGACGTATACATTGCATGCAGCACAGCTCTGGCATCAAATGGTGATGGTTCTCAGCAGTCATGCCACACTTGCTGATCCTTCCCTTTATTCCCCTGCCAGGACAATCGTTCCATGGAAGAGCTTCCGCCAGGCCTTGCATGAAGTACATCCCATCAGTTCCGGGTTAGAGGCCATGGCCCTGAAATCAACCATCGACTTGACGTGCAACGACTACATTTCAGTATTCGAATTTGATATTTTTACGCGACTCTTTCAGGTATGGGCCGAGGGATGCAAGTCACTTGAACGCGTACGATAGGGACGTGTCAGGCTGCTTCAGGAGACACACTTGCTTAAGCCAGAACAAGCTTAAGTTTTTCTTGTCCCCATACAAGCTTCAATAACAGGTTGAATCCTGCTGTGCAGTAACCCTGTGTAACGTCTTGCTACAGACAAAAACATTCTCTAAAAATAAATGGGAACTGCAGCATGCTGTCAGGATCCTTCCCTGCATCAGTTTTTCCCCCTTTAGAGGTCACTTTTAAACTGAAGTAGTGACACAAACTCCTGTGAGCCAGGAAATGTGAAGCTTGCTTGGTTTATCAGTCCAGCCTCCCCTGTGCCCTTTTTTAATTTCGGGGGGTGGGGGGGTTGTTTGTTTTCGTGGGGGCATTTTCAGAAAGGAGTGTCCACATGGAACTTTTGATTTCCTGGCTTTTGACCCACTGAAACCAAAATGTCACATAAACATTGTGTGTTCTGTATGATACAGACACCTCTGTTGTCGAATCAGTATTAATATTGGGTGAACAAAATCTGAGTCACTGGCAGAACTGAGCTTGAGAGTGGAGCTTTTGATGGTGCAATAGGAGACGTCCAAGAACAAACGCTTTTTTTCTTTGGCTCTGACATGCCTTTTTCCCATGTGATAGGGTGGGTTGTAATTAAGATATGTCTAGCTGGAAAGTTCCCATGTTCAGTGTTGCAATGGGTCTGATCTAATTCAGGATTTCATGCAACAACAGTATGTAAAAAGTGGGGTAGGAGTTGTTTATACTTTTTAGCATTGCAAACTGCTCAGCTTATTCTCTTCATATGCATTGTTCACAGTGATGTCTGGCATTTATCTGTGGCTGTATTCATTCAGAACCTTGTACAGGCAATAGTTACCATCACGCTCTGGTGAGGGTGAGTGAGTGGTTAGGTATTGCTATCAGACAGAGAACCAGGCCAAGAGGTTAAGACACTTTCTTGGAGCCTGTCAGCAGCAGAACTGGGGCTAGTCATAATTTCTGTTCCTTGGTCCCGTGCTTAATCTACTAACCCCCCTGTTCTTTCCGTAACTCGCTTGTGAGTAGATTTCTGTGATACAATTATTATCTGTTCTTGGGCTAGTTCCTCTGAGCAGAATGACGTCTTTCTTGCTGGTTGTTAAAGACTGTATGGTTGGGGTTTCTGTCTTGATTAGCTTATTGACAAGAGTTTCTGCTCAACACCTATTAAGTACAGTCCTGTACCATTCTCACTCAACTTGAAGTTTGCCTGTCCTTACTTCTGTTGGGAAAGCAGAGGTGGGTTTTTCCCACTTGTGAATTGCACAAAACTGAATAGTTCCTCTCTGGCATGCAGCAAAAGATAACAGCAATCATTACACCTCGGTGTCTTCTCCCCAAGAACGATAATCAGTCATGCTTTTGCAATGGTAGATGATAACACTGCTATCCCTAACTTTTGTTTTAAAAATTACTAGTACTTTTTTGCTCCTTTTCCATCGAGATGGATTCCATGATTGGCCTCTATACAAGCTGTTGTGGAGGTTTGAGAAAGGAAGTTTTGGACCACTAGACTTTGGCCACAAAAAGTCCTTCTCTCTGCCTTTGTGATGGAAGGGGTTAACGACTTTCCAGCTGAAACGCTGCATAATCCAAATGTCTGGCTTTTTGTGCTCCTGTTTGTGGTGCTACTACTTTGCCTACTGGATGGGTTGGTGTCAGTGAAGCCGTGCTAGTGCTATTTTGTGTTATCTACCTGTTGTCTACCTGAGCCAGCAGCCCTAGTGCTGCTGGCTGTCAGTTGGTTTTAGCTCATACATTGGGCACAGTGGAAAGGAAGTCCAGTTCTTTGACGGATGGGCCGACTTTGGATTAAGGACAGTTGTCTATATTGGTACCTCTTGGAAATGCAGGACTAATGATATTTCTTCTAATGTTTCTTTAGCCGTGGTCGTCTTTGCTCAGAAACTGGAACAGCCTAGCAGTGACTCATCCTGGCTATATGGCGTTCTTAACATATGACGAGGTGAAAGCAAGGCTTCAGAAATTCATTCACAAGCCTGGCAGGTTAGTGCTTGAAAGCGGGGGCTCTTTCTCACTAACTCCTCTCATCCATTGTTAATGCGGCACCTGATGTGTCAGAGACAGCTTGGGTCAGCACAAGGCATTAGTCCACGTTGCTTTTAATTTGCATTGCTCCTGGGCTAGCAGAGAGTTCCGCCCACCCAACCCAGGAAGAGAGAAGCTGATACCTCTCGTTCCTAGGAACAGTCAAGTATTTTGAAAAATAGAAGCCCTGTCCTCTTTTTGTTAAATGAACATGTGTGAGGATGCTATTTTTTGTTGCAGCTAAGGATTAAGTTTACCCTGATATGAGTATTGTGATGTTTCATCCGCTTGGATCAGATCGCAGCATTCTCCTCTGGATTGGCAGGGGGGTGAAGGGGTAAAAGTTGGTGTAACTCTTCCAGTCCTCCTGCTTTTCTTTATCTCCATCATGAGTGAGCCCAACAGAGCTGTTTGCTGGGCACTTAATTGTTTTGGCCAACCTGTGCCAAACTGACGGCTGTGTTCCTTTCTCTCTGTCCAGTTACATTTTCCGATTGAGCTGTACCCGCCTTGGTCAGTGGGCCATCGGCTATGTCACCGCAGATGGCAACATCCTGCAGACTATCCCCCACAACAAACCTCTCTTTCAAGCACTGATTGATGGCTTCAGGGAAGGCTTGTAAGTACTTCACTGTGATGTTTTCTGCCTTCTGCAAGTTGAGGTGTGTCTACAATGCCACGTTTGCTGTGGGCTCTCCCCTTTCCCTGTCAGAGTGTGCCGTCACTGCCCTGTTGGAAGCAGATGGATTTTAGACTGTTCCTGGTGGATTCAGTCATATGCCATTCTGCCTGTTGGTACAGGCAACATCCTGCTGAGGTCAAGTTGGCAGTAAGCACTAGCTGAGATCCTGTAAGGAAGTACCCACCTTCCTTTTTATTTATGCCCTGATTCGGCAAAACACTGCATTGATGTGAGTAATTCCCATGATGTCAATGGAATGACTCATACACCTAATAACTTACTGCATTGGGATCCAGAGGAGGGACTTTGACTCTCAAGAGTGTTCCTACAGAGGCTGTCTTTCCTCTTGCTTATCTGACTTCCCCTTGTCTCTGTTAAAAGTTGGTGACTACCTCGGGTATCAGTCTTGCTTCTTGAGCTTTGATGCCACTCTCATGACACCAAAACTAGCACTGTGACATCTGTTCTTTTTTGGGTGTTAATTTTATCCCTGAGGCTTTACTAAAGGACAGTATTAGGAAGAGAAGGCTGGGAGCCTGCAAGTGCCAATTTTTTTTTTTTTTTTGAAAAAGCAGAATGATTTGCTCATTAGCAAAAGTGAAACCAGGAAGGAACTTGGATTTCCACGGGCATTTTCCCTCAAAGAAATTGCACGTTGTGTTTTGCTCCCCCTAGTTATCTGTTCCCTGATGGTCGGAATCAGAACCCTGACCTGACTGGTTTGTGTGAGCCCACGCCTCAGGACCACATCAAAGTTACACAGGTGAGCAGGGGATTCTGCTTTCTCACAACCTTCTGGCCTCTTACGCTGTAGTCTAGAATGCACCCTGTCTGTTACCAAGGAGATCATACACTAGCAATCACTTCTAAGGCAACTGTAATGGATCTGGTAAGAGACCTAAAGCTCTTCATATGGTTGGAGTGGGCAGGAAGGTTTGTAAATATCAAACAAAGTTTCGCCTTGATCTAGAGCTGATGGGTTTTAAGGTCCTTGTCTGGAAAAATTGGGCTGCAAGAGGTTCTTGCACCTGCTCTTGGTTAGGTGTTTTCCTTTCTCCTTGGGTGCTGTCTCTGGCTTGCTGTGGTGTCAGAAAGGCTTCCAGGGCTTTTTAGGATGGCTTCAAGTCCATTTTTTCAGAGCCTGACTGAAGTAGGGCCAGCATTACAGTGGAATCTCTGAAAGTGTCTCTTGCTGTTGGGCTTTGGTTTGGGGCTTGGATGTTATGATTCTTTTCTGTGTCTCTTAGTTTGGATTTCTTGTAGCTCTGACCGGCATGTTATTTTCCAAAATCAGTTACGTCTGTCTGTCTTGCCACCAGGAACAATATGAATTGTACTGTGAGATGGGCTCCACGTTCCAGCTGTGTAAAATTTGTGCGGAAAATGACAAGGATGTGAAGATTGAGCCATGTGGCCATCTGATGTGCACTTCCTGTCTCACTTCATGGCAGGTGAGGAAAGCCAAGCTGATTGACCTTTCTGGGAGATGGTATACCTTCCGTCTCACTTAGATCCTTGCAGGTGCCAAGAATTAAGGAGGGCACTAAAGGTACAGCCTCAAATGCATATTAATGAATCTGCAGACTGGGAATTCCAGAGTGCCTGGCTGCAAAGGAAGCACAAGAACAAAGCTTGCTAGAGACTTTTCCCCATGGGATATAGAGGCTGGAATTCTGTCCAGAACTGATTCTACCCATTAGACCCTGCTGTCTCTCTGTTGCCTCCAGAGAAGTTCATTGCTGTATTTATAGCACACTTTTAATTTGCCTGTCTCTCATCCCCGTCACCAAAGTGCATTTCCAAAAAGATGTTACAGATGAAAGGCTTCAACTTTTTTGTATATAGGTTCTAGTCCCTGGGTTTGGTTTCTGTCATAACAGTAGCTGTGGAAAATCACTTCATGTTTTTTGCCTTCCTTCACAGGAATCGGAAGGTCAGGGCTGTCCGTTCTGCCGTTGTGAAATCAAAGGCACGGAGCCCATCGTAGTCGACCCATTTGATCCTAGAGGAGGAGGAGGGCTGTTGCGGCAAGGTGCAGAAGGAACTCCTTCACCCAATTATGAGGATGATGATGATGACAGAGCTGATGATTCCCTCTTCATAATGAAAGAGTTGGCTGGAGCAAAGGTAAATGTGCTGCAGGGCACGTGCTTCTAGAGACAGTGGTATCACAGAGGTGAAGACTCTGGGCTGTCTCTGGTCTCGCTCACTTAGGTATGCTCAGTTTGCTGAGTCCCTGGGCAGAAATGGCAGTCTGTAGCCCAGGTTCGTGGTCAACACAGAGATGGTGAATGTGGCCGTACAGCAACTGAGGTCCAGCCCAGCGCTACTGTCCACATACCATATCTCTGACTTCCTGTATGTTGAGAGAGGTAGTTAGCTGTGTTAGTCTGAAGTCAGGCAGAAGGCAGGGTAGATTTGTACCTTACAGACCGACTAAAGCGGAGATGCATAGCATAAGCTTCTATAAGCAGCAGGCTTGCTTCATCAGATGCTGTGATGTTATGTTGTCATGGAAAGTGGGGCACCATCCAGACCATTAGGAGAACAAAATAGCTGTGTTGATCTATCAGAATGTAAAACCTAGATTTATAACACTTCTCTGCATGCTGAGCAATGCTGCTTTTTGATTTATTATCCGCAATCAGCATTATCAGCAGAAATTGAGCCATTTTCCATTGCGATGAGCAGAAGCAGCCAGCGAGAAAAGGAGTCTTTCCAAGGTGCTGATGACTGAACTGGGTACCGGGCAGGCCATTTTGCCGAGGAAGTCGATTTGGCTGTCATCTTTTAATACGCTGCCTGATTAATGTGTGTAATAAAGATAGGATGACTGTCGGCCATCAGTGCTGCTTCCTGCCGGGGAGATGCATGCAAAGGCTGCATCCTTTATGGATCGCTGTGCAGATTTTTTTTTCCTGTCAGCTCATTGTTGCCACTTACCAGTCAGCTGCTAGAGCTGCTCTGATGCATAGGGGAAAGAGGTTGAACCTGGCTAGTTTTCAGTAACCAGTATCGCCTTTTTATAAAAGGGCGATTCTTCCCATTTAAAGAAACCTGAAGAATGATCAGAATCCCCTTTGACTTCCACACTGGTTCCTTCTCAGTACAGTTGCTCATGTAAAGTTCAGTGTCATTGTCTTGGACATGGGTGCCCTCATTGTCCACCTTGGGAGTCAAAATTTGACTCTCTTAATGCAGGGTGACTCCCGATTGTGGTTTGCAGTAGACAAGTGGTCTGGAATGTGCCAGTCATGTAAAAGCTGTGGCCAGTGTCTCAGCGTTACAGAGTGCCATCCTCTGTCATCAAGTGCTTTTTGTAAGGGTGAGGAAAAAGGGGGCACTTTTGCCACGTACCAGGTGGTGAAGCACTTTATCCAAGGAGAAGGATGAAGGCTTTGACACCCTCTTGTGCCAGTGTGTGCTGATTTTGGCAGAGGGACATCTTGTACGCCTCTCAGATGTAATCCCCCTCCGTCTGCTGATACAGTAGAGCGTGCCCTCTGGTGGTGAACACAGTACATGCTTCAAAAATGCGCACAAAAAACGAGCAGCAGTTGGTCCAGAAAAACAATGCCAGTATTTGAGGGGTGGGTTGGACGTGTGGTTGTGGAGTAGTGCCAGCTTGGGGCCTCCTGCTGACTTAACAGGGTTTGTCCCCAACGTGCTGCAGTCTGAACATGCATCACCTTTCCTTGCACACGCAGTATGAGTATGCTGATGTGTTCAGGGTGCGGTACCAAAGTGGAGCATGAAGGCATGAGGAGCCTGCTGCTGTGCCAGGGCAGCTTCTCAAGGGCTCAGCACTGCGTCATTTTCGTGACTTTCTCTTTGCAGGTGGAGCGCCCTCCCTCTCCATTCTCGATGACTCCACAGGCCTCACTGCCCCCGGTACCCCCACGGCTAGACCTTCTGCAGCAGCGAGTATCTAACCCCTCTGGGGCTTCCAGCCCAGGAACCACGTCTAAGGTAAAGGCTTCTTCCTTTTCCTTTTCCCCAAAGACTGGAGGAAGGATTTCCAGCATGGCAAACCTAGGGGTTTAGTGCAAATTCCTTGTTTCTAAAAGTCTAAGGAGGGCATTTGGGGGTTTTACGCAGCAAGTCTAGAATTAATATCTCATAGGTGAGCTCCTAACTGGGGTATGGGAGAGGGCTAGGCCTTCTGCTTTTTAAGCTGCATTTTCAAGTGGCTTATGCTGTCTCACAGGTTGTTCCTAGTTCCCTTCACAAGGACAAGCCTTTGCCGATACCTCCGACACTGAGAGATCTCCCACCTCCACCTCCTCCAGACAGGCCACATTCCACTGGGGTGGAGAGCCGACCTCAGAGACGCCCTTTACCCTGTACGCCAGGAGATTGTCCTGCCAGAGACAAATTACCACCAGTGCCCTCCAACCGTCAAGGGGAGCCCTGGGCGTCACGGCCTGTTCCAAAAGCACCTTCCGTAGCTCTCAGCCCTAATGACCCATGGGCTGGTAGAGAACTGACAAACCGCCATTCGCTCCCATTCTCCTTGCCCTCTCTGATGGACTCCAGACCTGACGTACATAGGCATGGCAGTACACTCAGCCTGGATACTACAACGGTAAGGCCCAGTTGGGCAGTGCTTCCCCATCTAAGTGGAGAGGGAGGGGATACTACTTATGCCAGACTTGAGGAGCTCTTACAGAGCTGAACAGTCATTATTTAAAATGTGTAGGCAAATTACCTGCTGGATAGGAAGGGGGGAGTAAGGCAGAGTTGCCTCCGAGCTGCCATTAAATAGCCATTGTGCTGTGGTCAGTCCTTTGAGTCCAGTTGTGTTTTAAGCAAGATTGTAGTAGGAGATGGTTGGGGGTGGAGGGGAATGCACATTTGGGGTTTTTAAAATGTATGGATCCCATGCAATGTGTAAGAAATGCCAGTGGACATTCGGAGTCTGTATTTGGAGACTCTTTATTTCCGCCACTGTACTGTGTTATTTCACTTACACTGGTGCCATATGCTTCTGTCAAAAAGAAATGCTACCCAGACTGTCTTAATTCCTTTGGCTCACACTCCTTGATTGTTTCCTTCCTCTGTCTCAGAGGTTTAAAGCAAATTAATTACTTCTAGCTGTCAACAAATCCGCTTGCAGAGACAAGGTTTCTTGAAATCAGTGTTTTGGAGTACCTAAGAGGAGATGATGAGCCATTAATGTCTGTCTGAGTCTGCTGACTTCATTGGGGTTTGTAACCTAAATTTCACCTTGCAGAACTTGAACAGCGGACCTCCAGCAAACTCAGAGTGTGAGCACCCCAAGATAAAACCTTCTTCATCTGCCAATGCCATCTACGCTCTAGCTGCCAGGTGTGTTGCTTTTCAGTGAAGGCTCTATTTGTGGTACAAATGTAATTGTGGGTCTCTTCACATCTCGGTACTCATCAGTGCAGGAGTTAGACTTCAACACTGCTCCAGTGGCCTGAGCAGGGGATTCAATCTCTGAAAGAATATGAAAGCACATGTACAGCATACCCCCTTGGCAGAGATGTGTAGAGATCTTCAGGTTTAGATCTACCAACAGGAACTTCAAACCAAATGGGAATTGCCCAGCACTTGGTGCAGTCTTAGACAGCCTGGTGTATAATTTCAGTCCCAGAAACATTAGATACCGCAGTACATAGCTCAGTGTAAGGCTGCACCTTTTTATTGCAGAGAGACATGGCCCAAGGCATGAAATTGAACCCTGCCTGGGGAACGTGTATCTGGCACAGTCACCATGTAGCTTGGACAACACTTTTGCTAACGGGTTTAATATGGAGTCTTGCAACCAGACAGCTCCAAATTCCAGAAAGCCAGAATCAATTTGAAAGTCTTGCTGTGGGTTTGAGAGTTGAGAGATAATGTCGCTATTTTGTCATTAACTGAATTTTCACTGCTTTCCACCTGCTTTTGATCCTCTTCCGTCTGGCCCAGACCACTGCCTGTACCAAAACTGCCGCCGGGGGAAGAGTCTGAAAGTGATGAAGACACTGAATACATGTCGCCATCCTCTCTGCCTGTGGTGCCTCCAGGTCCAGGTGGACAAAAACCAGAGCTCAAGCTGCCTTTGGAAATAACCCAGAGTTTACGGTGAGACTCTTGTTGTCTCCACAGTGCTTGCAAAACCACACTGGGCGAAAGGAACATGTTTGTTCATTGTGGCTGAGATTTCACCCAGCTGCTCTGTCTGCTGTCTTTTCCCCACTGATGCTGACCAGATATAAACTAGAGCAGTGGAGGAAACAAACTGTGAACAGTGCTCTTTCTTAGAGTCCTGATGTTAGCCATACATGGCGTTGTTTTATCACTCCTGTCCATTTCCGTTAGGCTTTTGACGTCTGCTGCCATGAAAATGCGAAACTCCATTCACAGCTTTGCCTCCTCATTTTCCAGTTCTGCCAGTTAACATTCTTCTGAACTGATCTGTTGTATTGCAGTGAAAGCAATGTGCTGCCTGTCAGGGCAAGCAGTCAAGAAAGATCTGTAGCATGGGCTAAAGTGCTAAAGAAACAACCGTTTCTTTCCTGGTGGGAAACTTTTTAACTCCTCTTTCTTGCAGAGTGTTGGAGTGTGACCGGCAAGCTGATGGCTGCACATACGAAGCGATGTACAACATTCAGTCGCAGGCAGCATCCTCTAGCTTAGAGATCACAAACATTTTCGGTAAGTAGGCAGCCATGCATATTATAAAGCAACCTAGAGAGATACCATGGAGGAGCGAAGTAGTGAGAATCCAAGTTGAAATAGTCTTTAAAGGTAATGTGACAGAAGCGTGACTAGCTTTTGAGGGTAAATAGTTAGACGTCAGCATGACTGTTTTGTCAGTGTGGACTGCAGACTGCAAAGAGGGATCTTAGTTACAAAACCTAGTTAAAGTGGGGGAAAGAAGCAGTAAGATTTTTTTTTTATAGGTAACCAGTGGTGACTCAGAAAGTTCAGTATTATGAGGGTTTTGTCTTCTAGGCTTATTCACAGTAGGGAGCTGGGCTGCCATGAAATCATCAGCTCAGGTGTGTTGTCTGTCACCAGCTGTTCCTTTTAATTCATGGAATATTGTTCTACCTAATTTTTGAAATTCCTCATTCCCATGCCTGCCGCTTCTTCTCCGAGTGTGAATCCATGTCAAGGTGCTGATTTGCACAGGCTAAGAACAGGCTTGTGCCCCAGTTAGCCCCAGTAATTCCAGCTGGCAATTACAGCTGACCATCCTCAGAGCAGACTATTTTTGGGAGTGGACCAGGCATTCTCACTGAACATTTTCAAAGCTGTGGAGGCTTCTATCCCTAGGGATCAGAATGAACTCACATCTTGATCCTTTTGGAAACTGAGGCAAATTCAGTCTCTTGTCACAGCCCTTCTACTTAGTCAAGATGACTTGACTGTGGTTTCTTGGAAGGCATTCACCAAAAATGAGTCTGCCCAAGTGAGATCATTGTGAGGAGGGCTGGTGAGTGTGTCCTTTTCTTGAGGAAGTCGATGAATTCCATGTGTGAACATGACATCCTGCCTACTAATGAGATCAATGCATTAAAGTGTCCCTGTAGAGAACCAGTTAATTGGGTGCACTAGAGAGGTCACGAATAACTTGCAGCTATACCCAGGGGCCTGACTAAAGGAGTTACACTCGAAACAAGTGTGTGGTAACTCTCCTGTCCCTTTTTTTGGCTTTTTGCTGTGGGCTTGAGCAGGGAGGGTTGTGCCTGGCTATGTAAGCTGCAAAGCTAAAGGTGTGTGTGCATGTAGGACAAAGTGTTAAAGAGGGATGGGTAGGCCCTATGAAAGGATTTTACCCCTCCTGACATGGGGTTTCGACAGCAGAGCTCAACACAGCTATTTGCAGGACTGAGCAAGGAGTGTACAGTCTGTTTTGGAAAGGCTCTGAGCTATATAGGTCTGAGCTGACTGCCTGTGGGCTTTCCTAGATGAGAGGGATCTGGCCGCAGCTGCTGCCAGCAACGGCCCCGAGGAGTCTGAAAATGAAGAAGATGGCTATGACGTCCCTAAGCCGCCGTTGCCCATCGCCCTTGCACGTCGCACACTGTCCGACATCTCCAATGCCACGTCTGCCTTCAGCCGGATGTCTCTGGATGGGGATCTTGCAACAGGTGAGTGCCCTTACTGCAGGAGCTGGCAGCAGGGTCTGACAGTATGTCAGACCTCTTGGGAGTATCTCATTGACCTCCTCTGTAGGCTACAGGCTTGGTCCTGCACTACAGAGGTGCTCTAGTCCTTATGGGTGAAGATGTGAAGATGGAGTAAGCCTTTGATTGCACTGCACAGGTTAATTAAAACATTGCATATTTGGGTTTATATGTGCTCCGTTCACCTAATCTTCAAGGCACCCAGATCAGCCTTCTGGCACTCAGGTCAATCTGTTGCACTCACTGAGAGAGGAAGTTGAATGCACACTATAGCTGTATTTAGTACAGACACTTGTAACTGCACAAAGAGAACAAGGATGAGTGATGATCCTGTGTGCTCCTCTCTCTGATCATCTGTGTTGGTTCAGGCTACTGGGGGTGGTTCTTTACCAGCAGATGGAGCTAGCTTACCTTCCAGTGATCTCAACCCCTGCTCAGTGGTGCCGGCGGGCTCCCCAAGGTCACACCATGTCCTTCTGGGTGGCATGACTTTTTCTGAGAGTAAACAGGTTTTAGCTGCCCAGAAATCTGCTCATCTGCTTCAGCTTCTCTCTCCACTGTCCAGCTGCTTTTGAGGGAAGCACCGCCAGCCTTCCGGCGATTAATTTTGCACCGCAATTACAAGGTTACTCTCTGGAGGAGGGTCATTGTGGCTGACTCCTGCCGAACCTGCCAGTTCCTGTCAGAGTGAAAGGATGGGGCAGCTGTGGCACAAGCCCTTGAAAGTGACCCCCATAAATTTCTCCCCACCTAAAGGGGTCTCAGAGGGATTATCTCCTAGACCTTGCATGACTTAGGGGTGAGGGAAGGGGCAGAACAGAGCAGTACCTTTCTGTCCAGGGTCTCCAGGCCGAACTAATCTTCCTTGTCTTGGTCCCTTCTTTGCTACAAAACCCCAACCTGAAAGCTTCAGGTTGTAGCTTTCCCTCCTGCAGACTCACCCCTGGAGCCAGCTCCTTTGCCGCCAGCTCCCACTCCTCCCCTCCAGCTCTGAGAACAGCAGCGGAGCTTAGCAACATTGTCACCTGCCCCGTACCCCACCATCTTCTCTCAGTGTCCCCCCAGTGTCTTCGGGGGGCTGAAAAAAGACCAAGCACTCGGTATCTTTATATTCTCAGTTGTGCCATTAGCTCTGAGTAACCATAGGGCTTAAGCGCCTTCCCTTCCCTGTGGCCCAGTTTCCACAACTGTGTGAAGAGGCTAATGAAGCTGCCCCACCATTGCAAAATGCTTTGAGCCCTGTGGATGGAGCAGTGCTTTAGGAGGGCTCAGTAAGCATTATCTTGAGGAGGTTTTGTCATCCCCTGAGTCACTGAGCATCGGCTGCTCCCAGACACTGGGTGCTAAGTGAGCTGGCTCTGTGGCGCGGTCTGTTGTGGTAGCTCTGTGGCTGCGTGCTGTTCCACACAGCGCATCTTTCTTCCCCTCTCAATGCCAGTGGCCACTCTTAAACTGACGTGCAGTCTTTGAGATTTGCTCCAGTTCATGCCGTCTGGGGAGGGAACTCTTATTCTCTCAGCTGTATAAAAGGATTTTATATCTAAGCCCTTTGTTTTCCTTTGATGATTGAGGAGCCAGGCCGCCTCGTGGTGGGTGAGGCAGCTCCAGAGAATGCTCTGCCTCTAGAGCCCTCTTTGTCGTAACACTTTGGACACGCGGTGCTCCAAAAGCCTTTGTCATGCTAACCACTTCCTTCCTGGTCCCAGGCTGCACAGCTCCCTCTTCCCAACTGGCAGCTTGGGCATTTGTACTCTGAGCCTCCCCTGGAACTGTTGCACTAGCACTGGGTGTTAATGCAGAGGGGAAAGAACCACCCTGGTTTGGGGAGCAGAATTGAATGGGTTCTTTGGATAACTAGGTTCAGCCTTGTGCTTGCTTCATTCATAGCCTCAGCCAGCAATGTATGGCAACCAGCAGTGCTGAGGGGTGAGCCAGTGTGGCCGGGTGTCTGTGGAGGCTTTCCCAACGTCAGAAGGGCAGTGAGAAGCATGCCAGTACCACTGCTGCCTTGTCGTGAAGCCACAGGTGAATGCAGCAGCTTGTCCCCTCCCCACAGTAACATGCACCTGTTTTTCCTTCCAGGTTTCTCTGATGGCACTCAGGTTCCAGAGCGGCCACCGAAGCCTTTGCCACGGAGGATAAACTCCGAACGGAAGGCTGGGAGCTGCCAGCCAGGGCCCAGCACCCCCCCTCAGCTCTCCAGTGAGATCGAGAACCTTATGAGCCAAGGATACTCATATCAGGACATTCAGAAAGCACTGGTCATCGCACATAACAATATCGAAATGGCCAAGAATATTCTCCGGGAGTTCGTCTCCATCTCCTCCCCTGCACATGTGGCCACATAGCACATCCCCTCCATGCCTACAGCTTGTGTGGACCAACTGCCTGGGCAGCCTAGCCCAGCTGCGCTCACGAGGGGGAAGGGGGTTCCTTTACGGGCTTCCTGCTGGACTCAGCCTTGCCTCTGAAGCGAATCAGTTAACAGGTTTATGTGGTTCCAGATTTCAAAGCAATGGAGTGAAACGGAGCAGATTGGTGTTTTATACAGTGTGTGTCTTGGCATCCTTTTTGGAGTCCTTCCCCTGCCTCTTGTGCGAGAGTACAGATTTGTTTCCCAGGGCGCTGGTAGACGAAGGGGTCACGACAAGTGATTCTGGAGCTGGTGCCCGGGGGCAGGGCAGTGCTTTGTGCTGTGAATTCTAGCGGAGTGCTCTGAAAGTGTCTCCGGGTTGCTGTGGTGTGTCCTGTGGCTCATGGTACTAGATTTGGATCTGTTCACTGCTGTGTGTTTGGCTCAGGCTTTCTAGAGCAGTCGGTAGGTGGCCTTCTGCTGGGAATAAATAGGAGAGCTTGGAAGAAACCTCTGCATTTCTTCCATTTACTGCGGTGTTCCCCCCCAGGCCCAGAACGGTGTTTATTGCTCACAATAGAAATCCTCTTTAACCTGGATACTGTGCAACTAGCTGCAGCCAGGCATCTTTACCTGCTTAGCGCTGGGAGTTGAACTTCTCTCGGTCTCTCTCTCCTGCTGCTGGCAAGGGCTGGCTGCACCAGATTCCAGGGAGTCGGATCCGTTGAACTTTGTGTGCACGTTTCTCGGGGCTGGGGAGGGGCAGCACACTGCCTGCTGCTTATCCTTTTAACCCCGAGCATTTCTGCTGAAACACTTACTTGATCGCAGCTGGGCTGGACTCGCACACCCCCCTGGTTGCTCCTGCACACCCTCGCGTATGGGAACGTTGCATCTGGTAAACAGTGTTTTATTGCTCTTAACTGCATGGTGGCTGTAGCAGACTAGTGCTCTTCACACACATTCCATCCTCTCTTTCCGAGAGCTTCTGTGCAAGCCAGACATCCGTGTGCCTGGTTGTTCATGGGCTTGGGACTTGTGTTCTTCAGCACCTTCTCCGCTTTGCAGTACAAACGCGATGGGTCTCTGCATTGCTGTCTGTCCCCCACAGCATAGGGGCCCTCTCTTTTTGCTACACCAAGGCGTTGCCTGAGCTTGTCAGGCAGGTGATGCAGGGAAATGGGGCATTTACACAAGAATCAAATGGGACTTTAAATGTCAGCGTTAAACTATCGCTTGTGGACAAACCTGACTTGCTTCTTATCCAGCTTAATCCCTTTCACATCATGTGTTTCTGATGTACAGTAAGTAATTGGTCCCTTCAGAGACTTGCAGGATTCAGCCCTGCTAAGCTGACAAATGAACATATTGCAGCCTGGGGTCAGCGGACATGAGCTTTTCAGGTCTTGCCTTGCATCGGTTGGTTCTCTGTGGTGTCCTGTGCTGGAGTAGCAGTTGCCATAAAGTGAAGTACTGTGTTTTGAAGTAACCTGAAGATGGTGTGAGGCTGCTTTGTGCAGTTCAGCCATTTTGCAGACTTGGTTACCCGGTTCCTCATCTCAGATCAGAGCGTAAGCTTGATCCAGAGAGAATTCAGAGCATGAGCAAATGGTCCAGAGGAGGACATGGCACTAGGTTCTCACTTGATGTGGAACAAGTTTCTTTCCAAACCTGCAGCCTGGTTCTGGTTGCTGCCACGCGGGATCCAGGTGGTATGACCCAACTTCCACACGCCTCACGCGTAGTCAGGGGTAGACTCGAGCCCTGCTAAAGGAGAGGGGTGGTTGAAGTGAATGCCCCCATGCTCCATGAAGCAAGCTCTTTCTCCTGCTCCTGCAGCCAGGCCTGTGACAGTGCCCAAGTCCTGCCAGCATGGCATGGAGTGCTGGGACTCCAGTCCATTGCCAGCCCTGGTCAGCACATCTTCCTGAGCCTTGCGAGAGGAGAGGCCAGAACAAGGGCAGCTCTGCCTACTCTCAGTACATCTGCAGGATGCAGTAGCAGTTGTGACCCTGACCCAGCAGTTCCTCGCATCTGAGAATCGGTTCCTGCTCTGTGCTTTTCCAGAGTGTGCTGGAGGCCCCACTGCTAGCCATCGCCCCTCTTTAACACCCCCTCTCTGCATCTTTCTTGAAGGCTGCAGCTAGCTGTGAGTTGCTTTGGGAGCCAGGGTGCTTCTCACTTTCTCTGCACAGTCTGCAGGGGTGTATGGGCAGCAGGGCTGGGGCGTTGGGGCTGCTGCCATGGGAGTTCAGTAAAAAGCTTCAGTCATTGTCCTGCTGCAGAGCGGGTGCTCCGGGCAACCGCTTCCTGTTCTTTCCTGCCAGCCCTTTTTCCCAGGCTCCTCCGGTTGCCAGTTACGTGCCCAAACTTTTCAGGGTTCAGACACTGAGGCTCACAGCCTGCGGGGGTCATTCCAAGCGGTGAAGAGTGCAGTTTTGTGGCATGTCTCTCTCTGACTTCCCTTCCCTGCATGTGCCCTTCCTCGTCCACTGGACTGTATCTTAAGCTGATTTGGGAGACACAAGTGGCTTTTCCTCCTTGAAGATGTGAATGTTTGTTACTGTTGGCACGCGTAGCTCGGCCACAGCAGGGCACCCCAAGGTCATGTGCTGTGGATGAACTGAGCCCTTCGCAGTGTTCCCCTTGCTGCTTTCCTTGGGGTGGCCTGATGATCCCCCCTTGTCCCCCGCCCCCCAGTGTCTTTATTCAAAGAGGTTAACTTGATTTCACTTCTTACAGAAAAAAAAGCCAAATGTCTCGTGCCTTTCTGAAGGGGGATGCTGCATCTCTAGGCTGGCTCTGAGTACTCCCCGGACTAGCCATGCAGCTGCCTGGCTGCTGAGCTGCTTTGGAAGTGAGCAGGAGAGAGAGAGGGGGCAGTTGTCACTTCAAGGATGACACTGTGTTTTGTAGCATTTCAACTGTGGAGGTTTTCCTACCTTATCTCTGTTACTAACAGTGACTTGTCTGGACTGGTGCTGTAACACGCTCGCTGTGACGACGGTAGAATTGTAACACAGGATTCTTTGTGCTTTTAACAAAACCAAGCAGAGTTCTGGTCATAAAAATGCTGTTTGTCCCCCACCTCCCACCCCAGGATGCGAACGAGGCCAAACACCCAGTACAGGCAGAGAGGGACGCTACAGGCCTGGGCCCCGGGGCTTTCTCTGAGACTTGCCAAGCAGCTGCATGAACTGGCAGTCCTGGCCCCTTCCAGCCACCTGGGTGCATTCATCACCACTCCCACCACCTGGCAGTCCAGAGCCAGAAGGAGACCCTGGAGGTAGCCGTTCCCTCTGCGGGTGTGCCGGCCTGCTGACCTGCCCTTGTCTTGTTCCTCCGCCGTGCCACAGATCTAAGCATACGCATCCCGGGCTTCTCTGCTGGCTTTGGTGAGCTTGCTTCCTTTGTAGACACAGCTTTCTCTGCTGGTCCCCAGCTGCAGTCTCCACTCCAGGGGTGCTGCAGAGGTGTGGGGAACAGCTGGCTTTCTGGAGTAGGCCTGTCCGGTGGTTGGAGCTAAGCTGGGGATGGAGTCATTCCTGCACACATGCATTCAGCTGGGTCAGGGAAATGCGGTTCCCATGGTGTTTCTTCCTCAGTGGGCCCCAGTGGCAAATCAGAAGGGGAATTAAGGAAACTTATTTTTAAATTTCCTAATATAAACCCACTGGGGAGACCGTGGTGGGGGAGGAACAGTAGCTTTATTTCTCTTGAATGACGAAAACCAATTTGTATGATATCAGTGTTAAAATGTTGAGATTTTCACAAACTATTTTAAAAAAAGCAAAGTATAATAGTGTCATTAATATAAAAGAATTATATTAGCAGTATTTAATCCTCGCAAACCTGTAAAGAATAAGGAAAACAGAAGGTAAATATTCTTACAGAGAGTAGCTGAGCTTTAAGATTCATTTGGGTTAAAGTCTTCATTTTGGTTTTTTTTGTTTGGTTGGTTGGTTTTTGAGGTGTTTTTTTTGCAAAGGCTTTGTTAATGTTTAGAGGTTATACTAATGTTATTTATTAATTTGTGTCATTCCCATACGCAGCCACTAAGGACCTCTTTTGTTTCCGATTCATGCATCTGTGTCAGTCAGAAAACCAAGACAAAGTTTTATTTTTCAATAAATTTCCTTTGTTGTAGCAGACCTGTGGCAGCATGCTGCTGGCGTGGCCATTGCCCCAGGAGCGCCTGCTTTGTATCGGGCATGTGCTGAGGGAGAGCAAAGGGGCTGTCCGGGCTCTTTGTGAGCACAGAAATCATAGGGAAGGGACCTCCAGCAGTCACACCTGGTGCAACCCCTTGTCTGAGGTAGGATCATCTCCAAACCATCCCATACAAATCCACAATCTTCCATCAACCCAGCCACAACACTTCACACCCGAACCTGCTACAGGTAAAGCAGGAGGACTACAGCCATGAGTGTCCTGCTGCTGTAAAAGGTTGTTAAATATGCGCTAAAGAGATCCCCAGTGTTTCATTGCAGCTGGCTCTGAGGAGCAATCTGCACTGGAGTAATCATGCTGTTTGGGACAGGGGTGATTTTTTCCCCCCACATAATTATCCCTGTGGTATAAACTCCTATGTGGGTGAGGATACAAGGGGCTGGAAGAGGTGGTATTGCAGGCGGATCTGCCTTCAGCCTACAGCCATGTGTGGTCGTGATCCCAGGAGGGTCAAAGGGAAAAGCTCGTTGAGGTGCTGAGTGGCCTCCTGGCACAGCATTGTGACCCCTCTCCAAGGACAGTAGGCCCCGGGGTGCTGGTCTGGGTTTTGCCCAGTGGCCGCCTGGCTCATGGCTCTTTGCCTTTTGAGGGCCCCAGAGGCAGCTCCGCAGCTCAACCGTAGTCTGAACCAAGCCCCAGGAGAGGGTATTTGGGCAGGCGGCCTTTCCTGAGTGGGTCCTCACATATCTGTGCTGTGCAGGAGGCGGCTGTTCAGCTCCCAGAGGGCAGCCCGGGGCCGCTGCTGCCCCCCAAGCCCAGGTCTCGCCAAGAGCCTGGGGGCAGGGGCCGTGGGTCCGGATTCCCTTGTGGCTGGAGGCCTCTAAGCCCCCCCTTCTCTGCACCCCCTTGGCTGGGGTGGCACAGGAGCTGGGACCCCGCGGTGGTCCCTGCTGAGCAGCCAGAGAGGGCTGGTCCCCGCACCCCAGGGGGACATGCTGCACGGCTTTGCTCTCTCCAGGCAGCTCCCATGGCCAGAAACAAAGGCGGACCTCCAGGCCTCAAGCCCAACGTTTCCAGACTCAAGCACGGGCGGCTGGAACAAGGCCTCTCCAGCATTGCAAACATGATGGTGCTTGGCTCGCAGTGCCTGGGCAAGCGCCGCTGAAGAAAGCAAGAGTGAAAGCTGGGTCCAGAGGATGCCAGCCCTGTGCAGAGTCAAACCCACAGGCCCTGCCCGAAAGAATGAGGCCTTGGCCACGAGGCGGGCCAGGGCCTTCCTGGGGCTCCCTTCCAGTGGAGGGGTGTGTGGCCACATGCAAAGAGTCAAGGGGCCCAGAAGTCAGGGCCACAGTCAGCTGGGCCCTGTGGTGCACGGTGCTGGGCCTCCTTGTGTGGCTGTGGAGCTCCTGGGTTTGGGTCCTGGTCTCTCCTTGTTTTGCAGGGAGGCTCCGTCCTCTTTGCATGGCGGGGCCTGGCCACTGTGCCTCAAGAGACCCACGGCACCAGCATCTCTCAGCCCTCCCTGGTACTCTGGTGGTAAGGGTACTACCCTAGGTGGCAAAGGTTGGGAGTTCAAGTCCCAGCCTGGCTGGAGCCCTCTGGCCCCTTGCTGCTCACTGAGTCCCTGGTGTGTTGAGCAGCAGGAGGCTTTTTCCTTTTTGCCATCAGGGCTTGTCCTCTTTTCTGCCCCTGCGCCCCAAAATCACGCCAAAAAAAAACCCGGCAGGCCACCGGGTGGCTCAGGACATATCCAACTTGGGCT